TCAAGCACTATTAAGTTTTTGCTTAAAAATCTGAGAGACTGTAATGTTGGTTTTACTGATTGAGGTGGGTTATGAAGTACACCCTTGAAATGTGTTTATGTGCCAACAACATATGTGCCAAGATCCATGACGATCGGTTCAGGCATTTATTTAACATTTCAATTATTACCGCAACAATTTGAGAGGCTGTAATGTTGGTATTATTGATCTAAAGGACTTAAGAATTAGCCGTTGAGACGGCTTCATATGGCATGACATACATACCGAGTTTCATGAAGATTGCTATAGGCGTTCAAGCAATATTAAGGTCTTGTCTTAGAAATTTGAAGTGCTATGATGTTGGTATTACTCACGGAAGGATTTATGAATTACGCCGTTCAGATGGGCTCAAGTACCTTGATATATATATATATATACAGGGTGTCATAAAGATTCGTTTAGCCATTCAAACGTAAATAGAGGGGTAACACACACAGCAATGCGACCTCATTCTTAGTGGGGTGAGACTGAGTCCCTTGTACTGCGGCCACTTGTGGCCTATTTTACCAGACCAAAATGATAGGTGAGGGTGATTGTGGAGCAATTGGTGGAATGAAGATCGGGCAGGGGAAACCGAAATATTCTGAGAAAATCTGCCACAAGGCAAACTATGTCCACCACAAATCCCATATGATCTGACGTGGGATCGAAACCGGGCCGCAGGGGTGGAAAACCAGCTACTAACTGCCTCAGCTAAGGCGCTGTCCAAGGTGATCTCATAAGCCTACTATCTTTTTAAATGAGGAATTCAAACTGAAAACAGATCGTAAGAAATAGGATGCGAAAGTGGAGGACTATATTAGATTCATCTGGCTCTGGTTAGGGTACAGTGGCGTGATCTTGTGAATATGGTAATGAACCGTCGGGCACAATATAAAGATAAGAATTTCCTGACTAGCTAAGAAACTATTAGCTTCTAGAAAAGGATAGATTAGTTATAACAAAACACAAATTCTTCGAATATATAAATTCTCATGTGATTCTCTGACATTACTGCATGACAGTCGACTTGCTCGCTTGGATTCTGTGGGTAAGGGAAAGGGTAAAGTTTTCACTGTGCTGACTTAATGAAGTACCACAGGATGAAGACGCGTGCGGGAGTGGAGGTACAGTTCCACAATTCTTGACCTCGAACTGGATGGCAGTGAGTGATCAGCTTCACGGGTCCGGACGCTTTACCCCGGGGAGAAGCCTCTGGTACCCAGAGGCTGAGTGGGCTCCACAGCCGGTCTGGACGATGGGGAGAAGAGAGGAATCTGTTAACCTTGTCGAGAATCGAACCGCGGTTGTCCAGCCCGTATCCCGTCGCTATTCCGACTGAGTTATTCTGGTTCTTCGATTATGTAGGTATTGACTTCAATTCTCTGCCAGAGCACACTTTATTCTGATATAAATTTCATCTCTCTGTTTAAGAAACTTCCGAAGTGATTCTCGCAGGTAAGTAGCTGCTGATTCCGGTACCATCCTCTTCATCCTTCTCCATGCATTACGTCATTTCATTTATGCAAGAGCTGCTAACCTTTCTCTGAGCATTCAAAGAAGCAAAAATTCAGAGCTGCACATTAGCCATTCGATGTTTCCGTGATTCAACTCTCGTCCCTGTCTAGACCAATGTTTGTGAATAGTTGATTACAATTAAGCACTACGCCACGAAGGCGTATGGGGGAGATGTATAGATCCACATTTTCTTGACCTTGGCACTAGCTGGAGATAAGTGGTCAGCTTCACGCACCTGTCGCTTTACCCCAAGGGAAATAGCCCCCAGTACAAATTAGATATGAGGTTGGGTGGACCCCAGAGCCGGTATGAACGACGTGGAGAAGAGAAAATTCTTGATCTTGCCGGGACTCGAACTCCGGCACCTTGGACGTCCAGCATGTAGCCAGTATCTATACCGACGGAGCTATCCCGGCTGATAGTTGTTTCTAGATTTCGTGCTAATTGAGCCACAAGCCATGGGAAAATTACTGCAAAACTCTAACCGTATTCATAATTTTCCCAAATATGAGAAAAAATTGAGCCAATTTCTGAAGAGCTTTATCTTATGCTTGACTTTCAACGGACTACACGTCATTATATCCCTGAAGATACATCTCTTCGTAATAACTGCTGTGAGAACCTCAAATCCTATGTGAGTTAATTTTTGTAGAGCGTTGTTATGTTGAATTTTCAAAATCATCAGGGGGTCAGTTTTATTAGTTTATTAAAACGTTTTGTGATGATTACACTTTACGGTTACAGACCATAATTTGAATTCGTTTTTGTCTAAAAAAAAGTATTTTCAGGCCGAAGTAATTGATCGCATTAACGTAATGATTTCATACAACAGCGTTTTAATTTTCTTGACTCTGTAGGGTTTTTAATTCTGCTGGTAGGATTAAAAGCGATGGGCGAGTTTCGTTATTTTACTGTAATAAAGTTACAGTATCCATTTTTTTCCAGAATGGAGGTATTTTAGTCATATTCTGCTTATGGATGTTTCGAGTCTTTCATCCAATGTTTTTTAATGAATGATAAAATCTCCCGTAATTGTCAACAATTTGGTTGTATTCATTTCAGTATCGTACAGAGATGGCAGGGTACGCTACTCTGTGTCAGTGAACTCGTGTTGTTAATAAAGAGTGTCTCTCTTCAAAGTCAATATCACTCGTTTGTGTGATGAATTTACGATTATGAAGCATGTCTTCCTGCAACTATCAATATTAGAAGGATCAAATACCATAACCTGCAGTGAAAAACACATTTTTTAATTTAATGAACGTCACGAATTTGTTCAAAGCATTGCTAGGCAACGGCCCGATAAACACGCCGCGATACGCACACGAAACAATAGAACAAATGTTATAGCTCGTTGCTACGCAGTAGTCAGCGCTTCAATGAGCTGGATGGATAACGGTCACGTGATATGTTTTCAATGGGATCCAGCCAGCGCCAATACAATGGCGAGATAGCGGACACGTGACATATGTTAATCTTTCCTCCTGGAACATCTTGTATAATGATTCTCAAAAGAAACGAGAATATTATTATGAAATGAGCAGTAAAATTTTGGAAGTGAGACTTATGTAACGGTACTAATGCAACTAACTGCATGGAGCAAAATTCTTCTTAGAAAGCTAAAAGTGGCTCAGCTAGTTAAATTCAGTTTACTTGAAAACGGAGACAGAACAATTTTTTAAAACTAATAAATTTAGAATTTTATATTCTAAATAAAAAATAATAGACAATAATAATGATCACAATAATCATTTGCCACTGTTATTATATTATAAAAAGAAAAGTGTTTTTCCACACTATTTATTAATATTTGATTTAGCGGCCAATAACATTAAACTTGTTACATCATATACTAACATCATTTTCTAACAAATTTGTGTAAATCATTCAGTTTTAACTTGTATTCTCACAAGCTAATAAAAGTGAAGTTAACATATTTATATTTCCGTTCTCTCATGACATGAGTTCACATTGTCATACCTGGGAAATTCACTCTGTTTCTAATTGGAAGCCGCGTAGATTTTTCTCAAGTCTAACTGGCCCATTGAAACTCGAATGTTGTGTGCTAGATGCCATAAGAACAACAGAAAATTTAATTCATTCGCTGAACTCCGGACGACGTACAAAAGACATTGCGCTTGGGTAAAGGTTTCAATGTTTGCAGTTCTGTACAGAGGCGGATTAACAGCACCGGATTTTGCCACGGTCACGGTAAAAGCGAACGAGTTGTCAACATTTGTTCATATATTTACTAAAATTAAATCTCACATTCACTATTCGGTAGGAATTTTTATGCAGTTCGCTACCTAAATTTTAGCATTTGATGCATTTCTCATTGCTCCTTCTCACAGTTCATCCAAGATTAACTGTTAGCTCTAACAGAAGATGGACCGAGTTCAGTTCTCGGAAAGAGATATGGGAAATTTTTCTTCGACCTTCCTTGCAGGAAGAGCAGAACTCCGCAATATCTTTTAAACTTTTAAACACTTTTAAACACTATCTTTTAATACGCAAGAAGCGTAAAGCTTCTTTGCCTCTTGTAGAGATTGACAACCTGTGATTTATGTAAACTCAATGTAAACTTCTGTATTATGCCCAAGTCTACTTCAGAGCGGGGGTTCTTAAAATTTTGCTATGACGCAGTACATAAATTTACGCGATTACCATCTCTGACGGTCAGCGAAAAGTGCAGTTCTGCACACTGTTACAGGTTCCTATCAGTCTGTATGGTGACAGCAGGAACCTAAATAGCTTTACAGCCCCTCTACACCTACAGTAAGCTATAAAATGTTCCTGTACAGTCACGAAAAGTGCAGTTCTGCACACAGTTACAGACCCCACTCAGGCTGTAGACTAGCAGCAGGAACTTAACAACCTCTCTTAGCTGTAAAATGTCCCTGCAGTCACGACAGAATTAACGAAATATTTCGTTGGCTGCAGCCACATTTTCCGAAACCACCTATACCACATATTGCCTTACCGACTTCTGAAACTGTGCATGGAAAAAAAATTAGGCCAATATTTTTTTTAGAAAACATGCTTCAGAATATATTATTATTTGCATTATTTTTTCGTCACAAACATATTCAATAAACGATACAAGTAGTATCTTGTTGGGTTTGAGGTTATCACAATGAAGAATATGGTTGTCTTCTGGGGGATGACACTATGATGTTTGATAAATACCAACGTTTCGGAGGACCACATCGCTTCCGTATTAGGGGTCGAAGAGTAAACCAAGCAAAGAATCAGCAAAAGCAGGCGATAAACTTTCCCCCTTGGATTATTCTCTCTCCTGAAGATGAAGGTCATATGCTCCTCCGAAACGACAGGTTCTCTCTGAACTATGGGGCGTTACAATGCAGAAGACCGTGTGCTTCGAAAGTATAATCTTTACGACGACAAAAGTTGATCCCAACAAGCTACACTCAGAAGGAAAAAAAAAAGATCATGAAATTACTTACCTTAATAATGCAGCTCCTGCAGCAGGGAGTTCTCGGCACAGTTGTAACGATTCCAGAAGTTATCAGACCACCCGAACTTCAGATGAACTTGATTTCGAGGCACCACCAAAATGTATAACACAACACTGCCAGTTCCAAACACAACAATAACCGACTCTGAGTTTATCAATTAATTTACCACCATAAATATGGCTTATGTGGAGGTAACAGTTATTGTATAATTCAGCTGTTGCTTTGTGTAAAGGAATATTTACACCGTCAAGTTTCTTTTAAAAAATCACCAAACGATTAAAATTGTTATTGTATTAGGAGACGAAGTGGCCCTGCTTCTAGCGCCACGGCCGTGTATAGAAACACAACGAAAACAAAACACGCACTCATCGCGGGGCGGCAAACAACAGACAGTCGCGACAGATACCACGCGGAGCAAAAAGAAACATGGCGATTTCACACGCACATTGCTACTCACAGCCCACAATAAACATGCCCTTTCTTTTCTCTTTCTCCCTTGCTTTATCACTGTTTTTCTCTCTCCTCTCTTCGCAACAAATATAAGAACACAAAACGCTCTAGCACCCAGCTGTGTGCATAATCTTAGATACGTTTTTACCTTCCTGAACCAATATTTGCTTCCGAGATTTTGTTACTTGTATGATAATCCTTCAACTTTCCCACGCTAAAAGTGTAACAGAGCTTGTCTTCCCTACAATTTATCACCGGATGATAATGGAATCTTTTCACTGGATCTCTGTAGTTTGAATAATCACTCTATAGCTCCTCAGCCACGATTTTAATTTATTGCTTCAGAATTGTGACACATGACTATTTATACGCGGATAGAACAAGAAACCTAACCTAACACTATCAATGTATAATGAGGGCATTTCACATGATTATAACACCACAGAATCATTACCGAACAGAACTCCACACATATTTTCTTGGTTATTCAACAATTTTCTCTCTGCGTAAGAAAGGCCTACGTTCCGAAAGTTATCTTGTTTCTTCGGTAATCAATGCAGATTTACAGATGTTACTTAGCTCAAAGCGAGAGCGGCATATGCTTAATATTTCCTTTAATGGAGGTCCCTGTTACGATACAGAGCACTGCAATTTTCTTTAATGCCTCGACTAGAGAATACGTATTAAAACTCGGCCAATATATTCACAAAGATTCATCAGAAAAATGCACGTTTCTGTAGCTGCAGAAGCCGTAAGGGAAACAAAAGAAAGCACTGTCTGTAAGGAAATCACAGTTTTATGACCGCAGGGTAACTTGACGCTGTCTCAAACTTCACGACTTTCCACTATGTATTGTTTCATTAAAGCAGGAACTTAATGGCTCCTGTCAGATTCCGTAAGGGCAGAGCGACACACCGCGTTGGCACACCTTCTTCCTTCCTCAGTATCTCCTTTCCAGGACCTCTTCGTCACTGCCAAAAGAAAACAAAATTCATATTAAAAACATGATTGAACTTTACGTCAGATCTGAGATCTGAGTTTCTGACAGATATACCGTATTTACGCATGTATAGGCCGCACATTTTTTGCCAAAAATTCAAGAGGAAAATTGGGGTGCGGCTTATATTCGAAATATTCGAAATCACACTTTATTTAAAAAAGAATATGTTCATAATTAGTAATACAGGGTGTAATACTCCTGAAATAATATTCCAAGAAAATAATTATTTCTATAATTTCTGTCTGAAAATTGTGCTGCAGTCTATACATGCGTAAATACGGTAACTATGGATAACACTATCTTCTGCTATGTGACACCTTGTAGTGTATTTATTTTTCTTGTGTCTTAGCGATGCTCTCTGTGTCTAGACTATTTGGAATCGGATGGTATGATGATGAATTTGAAAGAATTTTAAAGAGAATACTCATGATGTAATCGAGATTCACGTACTATGTCGGCCTTGACCTGGACAGACTGATAAAAAAACTGTGAATTAAGTGAGGATAGACAGTGTACCAGCTGACATTCGAACCGAGTACCTCCCGAAAACAAGTCTAGAATCTTACCTTTAGAAGAGCGTATGTCGGTAGTCTAGCAGAAGTATACCGACGTTTCGCAGAAACATATTACCTCCACCTTCAGGCTCGAAATGTAAACCGAATAAGGAACAAGCTTAAAGTTTATGCCCAGCCTTCGACCGTAAAGCTGTGCACAGTACGAACCTCCGAAACGTCCATAATCTTGTAGGAACTGAAGTTCTCAGAGCGGTAGCTATGAAGAGTTCTATCTCGTGGGATATAACACCGTGTATTCCGTTGAAAGTAAGCTGAGGTTTCGTAGGAATATGTCGCCTCCATATTCACGATTGAAGAATAAGTCAAGGAAGAAACCAGTATGAAATCAAGCAGCAACTTGCTTCATGCTGGGCGAGCGGTTGAATTTCAACGGGCTACGCGGCGTTGTATTCCAGGAGATAAAACTCGTCGGTAAATCATATCAGACTGCACGGCGTGACATTCTAAAAAGTTCAAAGTCTTGACAATGCGTATGAATGTTATAGTGGCCATTACTGAGTGTCTGAGATATGAGGTCTAGTGGTTAGTTGATTGGGAAGAGCGAATTCACTACTTTATTTTTGTTGCCATCAAGAACCGCCTCTGTGGTCTAGTGGTCAGAGTTCCTGCCTACAGATCCAGAGGTTCGGGTTCGATTTACAGAGCTACCAGATTTTCTGAGAAGTAGTGGGTCTGGAACGGGGTCCACTCCGCCTCGTGAGGATAACTGAGGAACTATTTCAAGGAAATAGCGGCTCCCGTCTAGAAAACCGAGATTAACGGTCGTGGGGATTCGTTGCGCTGAACACGCGACACCCTCTATCCGCTAAAGTTGGCATTAACTTCGCCGACAAGCGGCGGTCGCTCGGTCGGTATAGTTCGCTTGCGGACTACAGGCCACGGAGTTTTTGTTTTTTTTATCATCAAGATGTCCACACTGGTGGACCAGCCGAATATAGTACTCAGAACTAAATCCCAGAGCCATAAAATATCAGGAATGTTCCACTTCTTTCGTCTTCTGAATTGTACAGACACTGTCAAATTTCGGAACACAAAGCTTCCTACAGAGGCAACGCTGTAGAACGAGTCGCTTTGACATCTTTAAGGAACAATGACAATATTATTGTGTGGAGGCGGGTTAGAATACCTCCACCGTAGACATGTGACTAAACAGAAGGCGATGAACCCGGCGTCTGGGGGTATAACTGGGCCACCCTGTCACTGGAGGACATATATACAAGGATCTAATCCTTCAGATTTGGGGGTTTGACGCAAGACTGACGGCAAAAAAAATTATTGTTGCAAAATCCAAAGAAATTAAGACCGGATCGAATACGGCAGAATTTTATAAGGAAGGCTATGGCTCGAAAAGCGCTATTTTGCCTATGGAGATGATGATGATGATGATGATGATGATGATGAAACTATTCTGATTGTGTTCAACGAGTGCGAGAGAACGTGTGACTGATTTCGAAACCATGAATTCTCTTTCCTCTCCCCCTCCACGCGCAAACACACATTCCTTCCCTCGTTCCGTTGCCATGTAACAACTGCATCCTATTGCGTAATCAAACTGTGATCGACAGGACTTCCACTCTCCGATTTTTCGTTTCCGATTCCCTTCCCCCCATCTAGTCCCCCATCCAGTCTCCCCATCCAGTCTCTCCATCCAGTCCCCCCATCCAGTCTCCCCATTCAGTCGAACAAATTTACGAGCTCTCGGTACACCGGATATCGAGGCAAAGCGACTGGGCCAAATCGATACTCGAATCATTATAACGCCATTTCAAGTCATCAAGCATTTCCATATAAATGCCAGAACGTGGACATTACCAGACCGAAGCGGAGAGATGGATTTATGCAGACAGAGGAAGAATTCCGAGAGACGGTCAACAAGATAAATTTGATGCAATTCACGCCGGCGGTCAGAGGTAACGGAGAGAGAGAGTGGGGAGAGAGACAAAGAGAGGATTCTTCATAACTACCGCTATGAGAACCTCAAAACCTACAAACTGTGCGCTGTGTTCAGCATCGCTAATAAAATAGCGTGTAAATGGATCCAATTCTGGGATTGTAAATTAACCATTTAATTACGATCCATTTCAATATTATCAACTACAAACATCATCTAAAAGATGGTTCTGATGTTACCTACATCCATGTATTTATTTATTTATTTATTCATTTATTTTCCTGCCGCTTATTTAACTAAAGACTACATAGTCCTCTCTCACATTGGCCGCGCGGTCTAACGCATGAACTGCCTTCGTTCGCACGAACGCTGAGATCGTGGGTTGGATTCCCACTCAAGGCATAGATGTCTGTCTGCGTTTATTCTTTGTTTATGTTGCCCTATGTGTAGGTAGCGGCCTTGCGACAGGCTGATCAACCGTCCGAGGAGTCCTACCGACTGTGTATAGGGTTAAGGAACTAAAAAAGTGGCCAAGGCCCAACAAAGGGCTGTAGAGTCATAATAATAATAATCTACAACGTCGAATGAATGACAGTGAATAATGAATTGGAAGGGTTATGGAAGGAAGCGGTCGTGGCCTAGTTTAAGGTACTATCTTGGAAATTGCTTAGAGTAACACATTCAGTGTCCCGGCTATATTCAGGTGGGATAACTCCAGAATGCTAGGCAGAAGCTCCACCGCTTCAGCCAACTTTCTTGATATCTCCGTGCATTAGATTAAACAGCCGTTAAATTGGTTAAGAAACTCCACGATTTTTATACACCTGAAGGATGAATGTATTGTTTAAAATAGCCCTACATGGGTCCTATCTTGATCTAGTTGAGTCCAATCCACTTCCTCAAGCCCTATATTTTAAAATTCGTTTGAAATGATTTCAATTCCATGCTTCCATGTAAACTGCGGTGCCTCAACCGGATTATTCACTTCTGGTTTTGTGACTAAACTGCTCAATGTACTTTCCATATCACTGATTCATGCTACATGTCCTGCCCGTTTAATCCTTGTTGTTTTTATTATTATATTAATATTTGTCGTAATGCACAGGTCATGAAGTTTTTCATTTTGCGGCGTCCTCTCACTTCCTCCCTCTTAGGGCAGCATATTTTCCTCAGGACCTCCCTGAAAATACCCCCTTTCTTATCTTACAGTTACAGATTAAGCCTTATACGAATACAAAACAAGAAGCAGAATTGTAGTTTTATACCTATTTCGACGAGAGAAAAGAAAATTCAGAACCAAATGGTAGCACACGTCCACTTAACGTAATTCATGAAAACTCTGTATACGTTTCTTGTTTCTGCGTGTCAGAGCAAGAGATCAACACTGTCATAACCACCTTTACTTTATTACAGAACCAAGAGCTCTGTTATATCCTTCACTGTACATTTCAGTTCATCCGCTTAAGGCGACGTCCACATTCGCTCTGTGCAGTCGCAGGAATCTCACTTCATGTACTACGGACTTACAGGCAGGGAAATTATTACATGCAACACACACTGAGAATTTCAGCCCACCTTACTTTCTTTATGTGGCACGCGGTAGCGTAGTTGGTTGAGGCACTAAGCTATAAGTCGGGGTCGCAGGTTCGATTCCCGAAGATGTAATGGAATTTTTCAAATTACCTAATCCTTCCAGCCGCACTATGGCCTTGGGATCGATTCAGCCCCTAACAGCAATGAGTACGAGGAATCTTGCTGGGGCTAAAGGGAGGCCGGTTCATAAAAGGTTTATCATTTTATATATATAGACATGTAATGAGCCCTTATATTTCTCGGAGCCCCTTTGTAGTCCCAAGGTACCTTTCTGAGTTCGTCACTTTCATCACCATCACCAACAGTGGGCCTAACCCCCAGTTGTAAGTGGTTAATTCTAACAACGACAAGAGTCCTTGTGTCCTGAACAGATTCACTAGGGATTCATTAACATTCGCAACATGGTCTCCACGGACTAACAGATAACTGGTTCAGTGGCGAAGTTGTTGGGTATTGATTACACATGGTGTCCCATAACAGCTCCAAGGTACATACTTCTGGAATTACAAAGAAGTACAGAGTGATTCTATATTATTGTCGGGGTTTTCGTCGCCCATAATTTTCAAACCGCAATTAACAAAATAAAACTGCTAACGGAATATGAAACTGTGACACATAAAGTTTAATGTACAGTGCTTTACTCGTCCAATGATGTTTGGGAGAAAATATGACGTCATACCTCAAAATTGCGATTGTGCGTCCTTTGGTTCTTTTCGAAACAAATTTTGTTATCAAGAAGCAACGTCGTTACAGAATTAAATATGGAAAAGATCTACCTTTAGATATGGTATCCGACGTTGGCTAAAGCAGTTTGCTGCAATCGAAAGAGTTACAACCGCAAATACTGGAGAGATCTTGGAAGAAATTTGAATACCGCTTGGACATCTTTCATGCCAAGAAAGGCGCGCATAT